GATTCATGTTCACAGGTAGTTTTACGTTCCTACGAATAGGATCATATTGCTCCTTTCTAAATTTCCGTGTTAGCAAATTTAGCTTTAAATTGCTAATGGTTACATAGTACAAATCAGTTTGAATATGTCATAATTTATTTAAACATTCCTCTGTTGATGGACACTAACTAGACATGCTTCCTGTTTGGAGTTTGATTGTTGGGGTGATAATGCTGTGCTGAATGTCTTTGTGTAAGTCTCTTGTGTACACTCCAAGAATGTGTCTAGGACAGATATTAATACATAGTTGATTTGGCAAAAGATAGGTATGCTTAAAGTTTATATTTTTCAAATTTTATAAAACTAAAAATTAGGTGCATGTACTGGTTCATGTTCATAATCCCAGGAATTGGAAAGAAAGGTAGCAGGCTCGTGACACATTCAAGGCCTGCTCTACACAGTGAATGCTGGGTCAGGGAAGCTACATAGCATAACTCTGTCTCAAAAAACTGTTTAATTGAAAATTAAACACTTTGCAGGTGGTGGTGACACACTCCTTTGATCTCAGCACTGGGAGGCAGAGCAGGCAGGCCTCTTTATTATTTTTTATTATTTTATTTATTTGTCTCTGAGTTTGAAGTCAACCTAGTCTACAGAGCAAGTTTCAGGACATAAAGAAACCCTGTCTCAGAAAACCAAATAAACAAACAAACACTTAACTGGGTGTGATAGTGCATGCCTTTAATCCCAGCTCTTGAGAGGTAGAAGCAGGGAGCTCTCTCTGTGAGTTCAAAGTCAGCCTGATCTACATAGTGAGATCCAGGACAGCCCAAGATACACAATTAGACCTGTCTCAGAAAATAATAATAATAGTAGCAGCAATAATAATAGAAAGATGGCTCAGCATTTGCTGCTCTCCCAGAGGTCCCGAGTTCACTTTCCCAGCACACAAGTATCTCATGACCATCTGTAACTCCAGCTCAGGGGGCTACATGCATACACCTACATAAAGACATATATACATAATTAAACATTTAAAATAAATGGCTGGAGAAATGAGTCAACAATTAAGAGTACCAGTTGTTCTTCCAAATTCATTTCCCAGCACCACAAGACAGCTCACAGCCACTGTCTATAACTCCATTACTGGTGCATAAACATACATGCAGACTTACTGTATTATTTCATGTGTGCGAGTCTTTTGCCTGCATGTGTATATATTTGTACCACATGCATGCCTGGTGCCTACTGAGGTCCAAAGAGGTGTTGGATCCCTTGAGACTTGGGTTACAGATGGTTGTGTGCCACCATGTGGATGCTACTATCAAACCCAGATCCTCTGCAAGAACAAGTATTCTCAACAGCTGAGTCATCCAGTTCTCCAGCTCCAACACAAAAACAATTTTCAACTAAAACAAATCTATTTTCAAATAATCGTAAAAACTTATTTTTCGCTTGGTGGTGGTGGCACACGCCTTTAATCCCAGCACTTGGGAGGCAGAGGCAGGCGGATTTCTGAGTTCGAGGCCAACCTGGTCTACAGAGTGAGTTCCAGGACAGCTAGGGCTACACAGAGAAACCCTGTCTCGAAAAAACAAAAACAAAAAAAACCTTATTTTTCATTTTTAATTACATCTGTTTGCATGTGTGAGTACAGGTGCTCTCACATTTTAGACGAGAAAGCATCAGACCCCAGGAGCTAGTGTTACAGGCAATTAGTTGTGTGCCAAATGATATAGATGCCAGGAATTGAACTCAGGTCCTCTGCAAGAGCAGTATATATTCTTTTTTTTTTTAAATTTTATGCATATGAGTACACCACCATTGCTCTCTTCAGACACACCAGAAGAGGGCACTAGACCCCATTACAGATGGTTGTGAGCCACCATGTGGTTGCTGGGAATTGAACTCAGGATCTCTGGAAGAGCAGATGGTGTTCTTAACCGCTGAACCATCTCTCCAGCCCAGCAGTATATATTCTTAATGGTTCAGTCATCTTCCCAGCCTCCCCCTAGGGAAATCTTTGAATAAATAAATATTAAGTTTGAAAGACCCCACTTTAACCACAGTTTTCCTTTCTTCTGCAGAGAGTTCTATCCTGGAAGCTGACATTGTCCTTGAGACTCTAGACAACGATGTTGTCAGCATGGAGGTCTTCTTCAAAGCCTGGCTGCATAACAGTGAAACTGACCGGGAAAACATCCACCTTTTTCTTACTCCACAGAGTCTTTCTCCTTCTTCCAGAGCCAAGGATAATCCAAGTACACAACCCTGAAAAGATAGATTCTGTAGACTAAGAATATCCTTGTCTAGAGTTAGAACTCTGGATGACTCTAGAGAGGCAGCAAAATACAGATAATCTGAGGCCCAGGGGTTGGGTGAGAATTGGGTGAAGCTGTCTGGTGATGAGAAAAAGTTCTCAAGAGTGACCATCCCAACCAACAAGGACCAAGTAATGACAGAAGCAAAGTCCTTGATACTTCAGTGGTAAGACAGTGGCTACACCATATAAGGATACAGATAATCAAGCATTTTTCTCAGTATTCTCACTCAGAATGGTAGGCATTATTGGTACTCTGACTTTTTACTTTGATAATACCAACACTGCCTGTGCTGAGAAGAATAAATAGAAGTCTTCTCACTGGGGCTTGAGAGGCGGCTCAGTGGCTAAGAGGACCTGTTGTTCTTATGGAGGATCTAGACTCAGGTCTCAGCACTCACATGGAGCTCACAATCTCTTGTTATTCCAATTTCAGAGGATCTGACACCTTCTTCAGGCACTGCCCCCATGTACAACACAGACAGACAGACAGACAGACAGACAGACATTAAATAAAAATAAAATTCCTAACAATCTCATTAGCTAGACCTCAAATTGAGGAAAACTGTAACAACTCAGAAGCAAGCCCCACATGGCAGCCCAGTCATTTCACAAATCATCATCCCCTTCTCACAAGGATCCAGTGTTCGTAGAGTTGCACATTTGCCATAGATATTCAAACCTGAGATACATGTTTTGACACCTTGTAGCATCAAGGAGTCAGGCTCAGAGCAGCAGAACATTGAAGGTAACTGCTGGGGTAGAAATACAAAATCCTGACACACCCCTCAGACCACAGCACTCATGGAGTAGAGGCAGGAGAAGCAAGGCTTCAAGGTCCTCTCAAGCTACATAGCAAGTCAAAGGTCAATCTGTGCGGCAAGAAATCTGTCCAAAAAAAATAAAAATTAAAAAAAAAGTTTAATAGAGCAGAGTGCCATACACAGAGTAGTCTAGCTCAGTTCCGGTTTATACACACCTGACATACCACCACTGTGCTCTGCAGCCTTCTACTCAGTCCAATACTCAGTCCAATACTCCAATGTTCCTTTCAGGGCATTAAAAATAAGCTATTTAAGGAACTTGTCCCTCCCGCAGCCCCTGATGGCCCCTAGAAGAGCCCAGAGGAAAACAGTAGCAGTCAGCTGACTCTCTGACTTCCGCTTTCCTGCTCTTCCTTCATCTGACTAGCACGCTTGCCAAAGCCACAGGGAAGCAGCAGAGGCAAGATTTCCTAATGTGATACCCAAGGGCCTGTGCATATTTTACCATTAGCTGCTCCACCAAGAATACATGGTCCTCTTGAATGACAAGCCAGACCTCTTGCTATGAGACAACAGCTCATAGTAAAGCCAGCCCAGCAGTAAAGCAAGGGACAATCATGTCAGGCTCAGAGAAGAAATAAACTGTTTAAAGCAATAGTTAGACCTCAGGTGGCAGATCTGCTTTACCTCCTCAAACCAAGCATTCTTTCTTTGTCCCATCCCCCACCTTCCCCTGACCCTTGCCTGCTTAGTGGTATAAACTTGTAGTAATTGTTGTTTCTTAAAGGCATAGCCTGGGGTAACTTGTAACCTAGCCTCTTCTCTAACTCTCCTTTTATTGTAGTATGTCTGAAATGTGATCTCCAAGAGCGATTTCTCAGCCCATCCCTGCTTCCTGGTACAGCTGATGGCATGTCGAGAATAGATGACCCCAAAGGAGACATCAGCACGCTCTACCAGATGGCATCCCTGTCTTCAGACTCTCCGTATAAGTTGCAAGTGATCAAGTAAGCTTTGAGGAAGCCTCACCAGTCTAAGCTGTTCTTACTGGTTCTGTGGCTGGACGGGCAGAGATTTAGATTACACCTCTGCAGTCAGGTAGCAGTCAGTGGCCAATAGCAGTTACAAGCTTGTCATTAAAAAAAGTAAGGCTGGGCTCCTCAACAAGTGGAGGCCAGAGGGGCAGATGTAGGCTTGCTACCACAGAAGACTTGGAGATACAGGAAGAATTGGAAACGTGGTGTCTGAGTGCAGAGAAGGGCAAGGTTGATACAAAGGCGGCCAACCATCCAATGGATGTTTATCAAAAGCCTGTTAGGATTAGTACAGGAATGAACCTTTCAAGGGGAAAAGGGTATCAAGATCCAACTCCCACCCTACCACTACTCTAGGTTCTAGATTGCTGCTTCGGGGGACCCAGCTCTCAAGCAGAACAGTGATGGCAAAGCCCAGCTCTGCTGCTTTCTAGTTCTTACTATAAGGCCCCACGTGAAGACTGTTGAGCTCTGAAAACTTTCAGTGTGCAGACTCCATGTTTGATACTAACCGCACACTCTGTAATTTACACAGCCCGATCCACAATAAGGTCCAGAGCTGCATTCAGATGGGTGTGGTTAAAGGACCGGATACCACTAAGAAGTCTTTCTTTTCCAGGGCTCTGAAATCTAGTGGGATCTGTGAGTCCCTGACCTATGGACTGCCCTTCATCCTCAGACCCACAAGCTGCTGGCAGCTGGACTGGGATGAGCTGGAAACAAATCAACAACATTTTCATGCCCTGTGTCACTGCTTGCTGGTGAGTGCTCTACCCCAGGCAAGAATGTTCAAGTAACAACTAGACAAAACCAGCCACTGACACTCCCTAATCCCCTGACCTGCATCAACCCTGGAAAGGATGGAAATTCTGGAAATACTCTGAAATTTGCAGTAAATATATGTTGCCTCTGTTAGATGAGCCCAAAGGAGACATTAGTACACTCTACCAGATGGCTTTCCGGGCATCAGCTATAACAAGCTGACCAACTTACAAGTGTGGTACAGAAGGACCTCCCCGCTCCATACAAATGTTACTGTTTGTATATTTGATTTATTTGTTTCGTGTCCATATGTGTAAGGGATAGTGCTCAAATGACATGGCACATGTGCAGAGGTCAGAGGACAGCGCTTGGGGGTCAGTTCCACCCTCTGGTCATAGGGTCCTCGAGATTGAACTCGGGTTGTCAGATGTGGCAGCAATGAACTCTCCTGAGCATGCCACTTCACAGGGCCCAGGTGCGGCTCTTAACTGACACCATGGCTAGTAGGTCCAGGAATTCATATCCTATCTCTAAGTGTCAGGTAAAGGTCAGTTTGGGGGTAGCGGTTACAAGCGTGGGTGAAAAATCAATGCAAGGCTACTCAGCTTGTATGCAGAACGCTTCTTGAACTCAGACATAGCTCTTTATTTTATAACCTTTAAACAGAAGTAATGATACTTTAAAATGTACTTTCTTTCGAACTTAGGTGGTAAAAGCTCTTGCCACACAAGCCTGATACTCTGGTTCAAACCCCGGGACCCACAGTGGATACTGCAAACACACTAAGGAAATTGTCCTCTGGCCTCCACTCATGCACAGTGGCACACTTGTACCCACACTCACACACAAACATTGTACATACACACACAAGAATAATAGTAAATGTTCTAAGTCCCAGAGCCTTCTAACACTGTGCGAGTTATCACGGGTCATTGAAGGAACAGTCTCTGGTCCTGACCCATGGTTAAGTCCTAGATGTGCATTCAGTGATGACATAATACATATATCAGTTTACTCTGTAATAGAGGAGACAGAAATATATGTATACATACACACACACATATGATATATATATAAAATAGTATTGGAAGTCACAGCTAGAAAAATACAACAGAGAACTATTTGTAGGCATATATAATCAATTAGGGCTCAGTGAAGAATGGCATGTGAATGGGGGCGAGGTAGATGAAGTATCCAACAGAGGCATCTGACTTGAACATCAAGATATCAACCCTTGGAACAGAGGCAAATTAAAACAAAACAAAAACACATGCACTAATGTGTCTTGCCCAACTCCACACAGTTAGCCTCTGACCCTACACACGCGCTGTGGCACCCACACCCACACACAAATTAAACATTCAGATGAACAATAACTATTTGTAAAAGGAAAACCAATAGGGGGCCAGAGAGGCAATGTTGCAGTTAAGAGAGCTTACTGCTCTTGCAGAGGACCCAGCTTTAGTTCCCAGTGTCCACATCAGAAGGCTCACAAACTCCAGTTCCAAGGATCTGATCCCTTCATCTGGTCTACACACACACACACACACACACACACACACACACACACACGAATACACATAATTAAAAAAATAAAAAGGAAAGAAGCCAGATGTGGTGGTACTTGCCTTTAATTCCAGCACTTAGAAAACAGAGGCAGGCAGGGCAACGCTGACACATGCCTTTAATCCCAGCACTTTGGAGGCAGGCAGATTTCTGGGTTCAGGGACAGCCTGGTCTACAGAGTGAGTTCCAGGACAGCCAGGCCTATACAGAGAAACTCTGTCTTGAAAAACAAAACAATAAGAAAGAAAGAAAGAAAGAAAGAAAGAAAGAAAGAAAGAAAGAAAGGAAGGAAGGAAGGAAGGAAGGAAGGAAGGAAGGAAGGAAGGAAGGGAGGGAAGGAAGGAAGAAGAGAGACAGGCTGATCTTTGTGAGTTCAAGACTAGCCTGGTCTACATTGCAAGTGCTGGGCAATCCGGAACTATATATAGCATGAGATTCTGTCTAAAAAAAGAAAAAGAAAATCAATGCAACACTTAAATCAAAATAAAATAATTGAAAAGAGAATCTAAGTACAAAATACTGAATACATACCTGACCTAGTGCCAAAGAGATGGCACAGAATTTAAGAGCACATGCTGCTCTTCCAGAGGACCTGAGTTCAGTTCCCAGCACCCACCTGCCCTGCTCACCACCACCTGTAACTCCAGGGAGAGCCAACGCCTCTGCTCTGCACAAGCTCTCACTCGGCACAGACCCACACATACACAGCTAAAAATAAAATACATCTTATAGAAAACAAAGGTTTGACCAAAGTGGACCAGAGTGACAGACATGTGTCACTCAGCTTTGACCTAGGTGGACCAGAGTGACAGACATGTGTCACTCATGAGTGACAGGCACAAAGGAAAGGGCAATAGAGTGTGTGTCTTTCGCTGTCAGAAGCAGGCTTCTTTTCCTGTTTCTTTTGGTGTCCACCCACTGAGTTCCTGTTTCTGATCTGAAGAACGGCCACTCCTCCTTTCAGAGCGGAGACAACAGATCAATCAGTCCTGTGACTGCCCCTCAGCTCAGTTTCCTAAGTCCTCCACTCATGTCCTCAGAGTCTCTGAGGTGACCCATCACTCAGCAAGCATTTCTTCCAGTGCCTTCAATCTCTTTTCTTCTCTTTTTGACATATTGGAGGTTGAACCCCGGATCTCACATATGCTAGTCACTCTACTCCAATTCTATATCCCCAGACTTCCATTTGTTTGTTTGTTTGTCTGAGACAGGTCTCATTTTAAGTTACCCAGGGACTTGAACTTAATCTGCAGCCCAAATAAGTCTTGTATTCAAGATCTTCCTATCTCAGCCTCCCTGGTCCTGCTTTTAATACATTTTTTTTTCTGTATAGCCCTGGCTGTCCTGTAACTCAATCTGTAGACCAGGCTGGCCTCGAACTCAGAAATCCACCTGCCTCTGCCTCCCAAGTGCTGGGATTAAAGGCATGTGCCACCACTGCCCGGCTAATACAGGTTTTTTGTAGTTGTTTTTGGGTTTGGGTTTTTTAAAGGCAGGGCCTCATGTAGCCCAGGTTAACCTTCATAAACTTGCTGTGTAGCTGAAGGTAATCTTTATGCTCTCAAGCTTTGGTGTTATGGACAGGTACCACTATACTTGGCTCAATGCTTATAGTGGAGGATTTTTTGTTGTTTGTTTCATTTTTGTTTTTTGAGACAAAGTTTCTCAATTATGTAGCTCTGGATGTTCTGGAACTCACTTTGAAGACCAGGCTGGCCTCAAAGTCACTAAAATACGCCTGCCTCTACCTGCTGAGTACTGGGATTAAAGGTATGCATTACTATTCCTGGCTAGTATGTGATATTTTAGACATTAGCATTTTAACACATTTCCTGAAAATATACATCCTTCAACACTCCTGCCAGGATGATAGCCCAAGAAAATAAGATAAAGATATATACAAACAAGACATTCATCTCAGTGTCACTTACAGGGGTAGAAAATTAGAAGTGACTTAATGTCCTAAATAGATGACTGGATGTCCTAGTTGGCTTTTTCTCAACTTGACACAGGCTAAAGGTATCTGGGAAGAGGAAACCTCAACTGAGAAAATGCTTCCATGAGGCTGGTTGGTAGTCAGGTCTGCAGGGCATTTTCTTGATGCCCTGGGCAGGTGTACTGCAGGATATTTGATTGTTATTTACTGGATTGTTAGTTGTAGTGTGGATCAGCCTTAGACACACCTTTAATCCAAGAGCCTTCTGATTGAGTACTGTAAACGGATTAAATAAAGTCACCCGTAGGTCAAGAAGCAGAGCAAGCAACCAGTTGACAGGAAGTGAACATAGGATTATTAAGAAAAAAACCATAGACGCTAAGAGGGACTCCGGAGGACAGATAGAGAGATGCACAGGAAGCAGAAGAGACAGATACTCCGTTTGAAGGTTTTCTGAGACAGGGTGAGAGAGAGGCTCTTCTGGGATGTGGCTGAGGAGGAAGGTCAGCTGGGTGCTTTCTCCGCCTCTCTGAGCTAGCAAGCTTTCACCCCAACATCTGGCTTCTGAGTCTTCATTAGTAAATCCAAAAAATTGAGGCTTTGTTTTAAAACTACATAGGTCATCCTGAGTTTCGATTAAAAAAAAAAAAGAAAAAAGTAGTCTGAGCAAGCCATAGAGAGCTTCTTCTGTGCTCTCTGCTCTAGTCCCTGCCTCTGAGTTCATGCCTTGAGGTCTTGACTTGCTTCCTCTGATGACAGACAGACAGCTGAAACAAACCTTTTCCTCCCTATGTTGCCTTTGGACATGGTTTTGATCCTCCCTTTGCTCACGCTGCAGGCTTCCGTATTTCCCTGGGCTGGAATAGAGTCTGGCCATTCATAATTGCTCCCCGTTCTCCTTTACGTGTCTGTGTGTTTGTTTGGGACGTAGGAGGTTCCTGTGATATAACATGCATGGGAGCTAGGGGACAGCCTTCAGAGGTGGGTTCTCCGTTCACCACGTGGGTCCCAGGGATCTCGTGCTACCACTGCATTAAATACTGCTCTCCTAGTGGGAGGAGGCCAAATCGGTCTTCAAAAGGCTCTGCATCCATTCTATTTGAATATACCTTCTCTCAGTGGCGTAAATCCCCAATGGCAGCGCGAGTGAGAGAGAAGAATTTTTCACAAGCTTCAAGTAATTCATTCAATAGGGAATATTTTTATGCTTACTATGTGACAAGACTTATTATTTCACGTGAACCTGCCTAATCCTGTTTTCAGAAGTTGCCCGAACCTTGTTGTTTTAGATCTTTGTTTTTATTAGCGTGTATGTGTGTATATCTATGTGAGTGGATGCCGCTTGTTATGGGTGCACACTGAGGCCAGACCTGGAGTTCAGGCAGTTGTGACCTGGCTAACATGGTTACTGGAACCAAACTTGGGTCCTCTGAGCAGCACAAAGAGCTCCTCACTGCTGACCCATCTCCATCCACAGCCCTGTAATGCTAAACGTTG